GGAAAAGAAATGACTCACAGGAACACACAATGGAACATTCATTGAAGGAATGAGCCATGGGCTCACATGAGACCCCCAAGTGAAATACTCACTGGCAAGGGCAGGCTTCTTAGAAGAGGCTTCCTTGAGAGTAAAGGATCTCCTGACTGGAAAAATCACCCCCACCCATCAGCAGCTGCCCAAAGGACTGCACCCAACCACTTCTTCCCAGAGAGATCATCTGTTCTGGAGCCTGCAGTTAAAACTCTTGGTGAGATCCAAGCAGCTCAGCTGTAGAACTCTGAACCTTGGGACTGCAAGAGTACAGTGGTGCCTTGCTTAACGATGTTAATTGGTTCCCAAAAAAACATTGCTATGGGAAAACATCGCTAAGCGAAACACCATTTCCCATAGGAATGCATTGAAAACCGGATAATCCATTCTAATGGGAGTGGATTAACGCCCTTAAGTGAAAATCGCCATAGGAAACATTGCTAAGCGAAACACGGTTCCCCCATTGGAATGCATTGAATAGGTTTCAATGCATTTCAATGGTTTTGACAGGTCCATTTTCGCTATTTTTAAAGTGTCTTAAAATGTTCAAAAACTGTTTTAAATGCTTGGAATTGTTAGTGCACCTTATAAAACCTTTGCAAACTTAATTTGGCTTTGTTCTGAGTCTTCGTTAATTTTTGGTGAATTCCCCCCCATTGGAATGCATTGACTGTAGGTTTGCAAGCACAACCTGAATGTCTGAATGAGCACCAGCTGAATCAAAATATACAGTCAGCAATGAAAGCCCAGTGTGTTGAGAAATATATCAAAAGTTTATATGCAGCAACAGGTCACTGGCCTGTCTCTGGAGGGTATTTATGTATGGATGTGTTAAGAAGAGTTTGAACAAAGGAACTTTTGGTATGTTACAGAAGTAGGAGGGGCGGCAGGAAGAAACACATTCTTTTTGAATTTGGGGAGGGCTCGGGAAACAGATACCTTAAATTACTATCCCCCAAACCACCAAAGAATTGATGCTTTTGGTGCCGGAAGAGGCTCTTGAGAGTCTCCTGGACTGCAAAGAGAACAAACCTATCAATTCTGAAGGAAATCAACCCTGAGCGCTCACTGGAAGGACAGATCCTGAAGCGGAGGCTCCAATCCTTTGGCCATCTCATGAGAAGAGAAGACTCCCTGGAGAAGACCATGATGTTAGGAAAGTGTGAGGGCAAGAGGAGAAGGGGACGACAGAGGACGAGATGGTTGGACATTGTCATTGAAGCGACCACCGTGAATTTGACCCAACTCCGGGAGGAAGTGGAAGACAGGAGGGCCTGGCGTGCTCTGGTCTGTGGGGTCACGAAGCGTCAGACACGACTTGAGGACTAAACAACAACAACACATCCTGCCAAAAGTGAGCAGGACTTACAGAGCTGAATGCTGGAAGGTGGAAACAAAATGAAGGTGGAAAGGCCAAAAAGTATGCCTGTAGGCTTATGTTCTACATGAGCACAGGATGCAAGACTGTGGAAATGTGTCTACCACTTACACAGCACAGAAATTAAGCCTGGTGCTCAATTGACTATCAATGGACTATGCCCTGGCGGATACAAGTTGATATTTAAGTACAGATACCTCTTCTCTTAGAGCAAGGGGGTCCATGGGCCAAATATCCCTAGCCCACCAACACCCTATTTTCTTTAAAATTATTATTATTATGACTGAAAAAAGGGGGCTCTTGAGCTGTCTGGTAGTTCAGGTGTGCAATTTTGTCTTGGTTTTGCCCTCTCCTCAACCTGTGCAGGTTGGAGGCAGGGAACTCTTGACAAAACGGGGTGTGTGCACCCCACCCTCAGACTTCCAAAAGTTGTCCGTCCCATCTTAATGCCTTTTACCACATTATTGCCATTCTCATCTACTCCATGCTACGGCCACTTCCTTCAACCTTGTCTTCTGCTCCTAACCTTCGCTCGTTTTAATGCCACTACTTCCCTCTTATTTCTTAACAGGGGGAAAAAATCTCTTGAAGGGACAAACGCGGAAATGGTGTGGACCACCAAGAAATGCCCCCCCCACGGACAAAATGAATCTGAAAGAGAAAACCTTTGCCAGTTTTGAAAAAGGTGTACTGACAGTGGTGGGGATGTTCTAGGATGTATGGGGTTGAGCAGCGGCGCCATGTTTATAAGGTAAATCACACACATACACACACACCCATTCCAGGAAAAGAGAGGATCAGAAGAGGTCCAGCTTCACACAAACCAGTCTGGAAATACTGTTAAACTTAGAGGGCTTTTTTTTAAAGAACAATATTTAGCTCAATAGGTAAAGCTAAGGAAACTGGTAAGAGATATTCCTGAGGAACCATCATGAAATCTTAAATAAGAGAGAGATACTCCCATCTTTCCTCCAAAACAGGTATTCCCATGGCACACTGGAATATTTCCCAAGACAACCACTCTTGTGTTGCAGGCTGAGCCGAGGGGCACCTGTCTTCAGAGAAATCTACCATACCCAGATTTGCAACTAGATGCTCTTTGACAATGTACCTTTATGCCTCCCGCCTGAGGCTGGCATCAAACCTAACTTTCAGAGTAATCGCTTGCAGTGGTTTTGGTTTTAAAACATCCCCTGCATTTGCTGCACACACACATGCATAGACACCCCACACACACCAAAAATAGTTAAACCGAAGAGGATTCAGCAGAGATCAAATTAGGTGTTACTGGATCAATGGTGTCTTTTAAAACATGAACGGTGGGGTCTGTAGCTTCAGTTTGTCAGCGCTTTGAAAGCAAATCCCTTCAGAAAAGCGCCAACTGGTTTGTTTCCATTTCCATGATAAAGGGCTTTAGACAGCAAAGAAAATAATTTTTCATTGTGTCAAGCTTATTGGAGAATCAATAAACGTTTTGCAGATGGATTAGAGGTAGGTCTCGGGGACCATCGTGTTAAAAGGGAACAGCAGCAGCTCTGGGCTATCTGAGTCAATGCTTTGTATTCAAGATCCAGGCAGCTAGAAGTGGTGTGGGGGGAAAAAAAGAGGAGCGCACAAGCAAAAAGAGGGGTAAAAAAATGCTTGAGAATTGTCACGTCAATCAAAAATGTTTTCAGAGCTCAAAAGAGGGGCTGTGATCCCTTGTAGAGCGTCCACCTTCCAAACGCCTTATCCCATTTCTTCGTTCACATGATTCTCAGGAGGTGGTCAGCTCACCTTCTGTAGTTTGTTAGTCCTTCAGCGACGATATTCTTCAGAGCTCTGTGCTTGAGCAGATTTGCAAAGGAAGCCTGCGTTTACCTCCTGATCACCAATTGCAAAACAGTGCAGGCTAATTTGCAAAAGGCAGAGGGGACAAAATGTGGTGCTAGGAGAAAAAAAAATCCAGGAGAGCTTCTAATGGACATAGAAGACAACCCTAAGGTAGAAGGATCACTAGTTTGCCACTCAAGATGGAAAGATATCTCATATTTTAGCAGAGGGCCAATAATTATCTGATAAAGCACCCGCTTGGTGGACCAAGGCCTCCAGGATCAACTCCTAGTCCTCAGTAAATTCATCTCTGGCACCAGGAGTGCGGGGAGAGAAATCCTGACTGATTTCAGGCAAGAACATCAGCTGGAATTAAGAGTGCTGGGCAGTGATGGAATATATGTTTCCTTGAAAAAAGGAGGAGGAGGAGGGAGGGTCTTAAATAGGCAAAAAAAAAGTGTTGAGGGGGAATCTGCATCTCAACTTGAGATGGTCAAGATCTATGTCTGGAAATGAACTGCAAATGCAGACTTATCCTACCCATTTTTTTCCACTTGCCAAACAAATAAGCACAAAATATTGTGGTGGGAGAAGCGATCTTCGATGGAAAATGATGGTTGTTCAGAACTCGAGTCTCAAGCTGTGACCCCATCTGGCCAATAGAAATGGCCTACATTGGAGGTTCCCTGGCCACTTCGATCCCAAAACCTCTTGCTGATTATCTTCCTTTTCATTTGGGCATTTTATCGGTGAGTTGGCTTACAAAGAAGAGGGCAACCCAGTTTTCTGTTTGTTTTGCAGTAATTTCTTTGATATATATACACAGACACTTCTTGAGAGTTTGTTTTGAAGGCTCACAATTATCCAGATCGTTTGTAAGGCACAGAAGGAAATGTTAATTCCACTCCCAGCATTGTATGACTTGCACCAGTGAACTGGTTGAATTAAAGATGCCTTGCACAAAGGGGGGTAATTATTTCCATTCTTCTAATGACCATCTTGTGGTGCTGGAGGAGACTCTCGAGAGTCCCCTGGACTGCAAGGAGAACAAACCTATCCATTTGGAAGGAAATCAACCCTGAATGCTCCCTGGAAGGACAGATCCTGAAGCGGAGGCTCCCTTACTTTGGCCATCTCATGAGAAGAGAAGACTCCCTGGAAAAGTCCCTGATGTTGGGAAAGTGTGAAGGCAAGAGGAGAAGGAGACGACAGAGGACGAGATGGTTGGACAGTGTCATCGAAGCAACCAACATGAATTTGACCCAACTCTGAGAGGCAGTGGAAGACAGGAGGGCCTGGCGTGCTCTGGTCCATGGGGTTACAAAGAGTCGGACATGACTGAACGACTAAACAACAACAAAATGCCCATCTCACCCAAGTTAGGACTTCTACAACAGAAGAAAAACTCAAGTGTTTGACACTACATGGATGATACACATTGACTTTCTCTATATTTATTTTTCACAGTTTTTCTGGTTTTCACACATCTACGCTGCTTCTCTCAAACAGTGGCACAGAAGGGAATATACAGAGGAATCACCGCACGGACAGGTGCAGGATGCCTACAGCCCACATTGTTAATATCTGAAAGATTTGCTCTGACCCTAGTTGAGTAATGCTAGTACAGCTGCAAGGCAGACTGGTATCGTTAATTCTTCTCCACACAAGATTTTTCTTTAAAAAATATAAAATAAAATAAAACTTGCAGTGTGGGCCATTTTTGGCCCTTTGGGAATTCCAATATATTGAAGGTTTGCAGTAGAAGCCAGAGTCAGGATTAGAATTAGAAGTCTTTTTTATTTCTGGAAATCCACTGGAAATTCCATCTTACACCTTCATTTTGAATCTATCCAACCTACTGACAACCACAGCATGTCACATCTGCTGAAGCCCTGCTACACAACCTTGGGCTTAGTACATTGGCCTGCATAGACCATGAACTGTCTTCCGTTGTCCAACACCCAGCTGGTAGGAAGAAAGAGGTAAGCACAGAAAGGCACAATGACATATGGGCTTTGGAACACCAGGGATAGCAGACAGTATCCAGCAATCAAATGACACCAGTGTTTGTTCCTTGGCTCTTAGACAATATATCACATCACAGTTCGTTTCAAGTACAAAAGGAAGGAATGCATTTTTCAATTAAAATGATGGTTTCTTCTGATCTTCACTCCTCTTTACATTTAAATGAGGCAATCACTTGACTTTGGTTTCGCCCGTAAAATGTTATTTTGAGTGCTTCAGCACTTGCCCCTCGAGATCCATGTACCGTTTAAGCAAAGGCTGGTAAACCTAAGAAGAAGAGGAGAAGGGTTAACAAAGGGTTACATTTGAAAAGGACCAGGAATATTTACATGTAACCAAATCGGTCAGTTGTGTGCTCTCTTCTATGGCTTCTGTGCCTCCAGGAGAAATGTTTCAGGCTACGGCCTATAACCAAATAAGGCTCCCATCCTTCCCTTCGAAGGAAAGATTTCCCCTTTCCATGTTAGTCACGCGAGTCGTTGGGCCGATGCCATTCTGCTGGATTGCTTTGCGAGGTCCACAGAAGCATCGCTCATATGCCAAAGCAAGTTCTGCGTTGGTTGGGAGACTGTTCACCCCTCACAAGATTTCTCACCCAGCACAAGACTGGGACGATCACGCAACCTGTAAAATATGTGTCTAGGTACAACGAGTGCCTGTTCCCTCTGCAGAACAAATTGCATACATTCACACACACACAACCAGCACAGAAGGACTGGGTGACTGATCAAAAATACATAAACAACCAGTCCGCTGGGTGTAAATTCTAAAGATCTGCATAACACAGCAGCAACTACTGAGGCAATTTATTGGGGGGGGGTGTAAATGCAAAAACTCTCAGTAAAACTAATAAAAAGCACTTTGTTGTCACTTAGAAGACAAGAATTTAATTCCACCCAATTATTGCGCAGCAACGACATAAAGTATGGAGAAGATGGCATCTATTTCTCTCCTCCCTCGTCGAGTATCTTCTTTGGCACTTCTTTTTGGCTCAAGCATATTTCGTTGTAAATTACGGTGGCGCCTATCTTAAGTTTTATGCCACACTTAAGGAGTATCTTGTTGTAGGCAAAGGGAGGGAGTGGGTTCCCACCCCCTTTATCCTAAGGGCAGAAAAAGGTTTCAGGAGGGAAACCTCCTTCTCTGGCCTTGAGCCTCAGAGAAGGAGGATGCTTAGCAAAAGAGAGGGAGGCTGCCCGCTTCCCACCAAAAATGACCACTGCCAATCCTGGCTCAGCCCTGCTGCAACATAGCACAACATCTTGTTTTTCTTGGATAGATATGCTGGAGCAAGCAAAGTACCAAACAAGCACTTATGGCTGTATTAGGGACATCAATATGTCAGGCAAAAATAGCTCTTTTATTTACTGAAATATCTATAGTCAAGCCTCACTAATTCTCACTTTGATTATCAGCAGCTCTGATAAAGCCTGCTTGCTTTGTGCCAGCGGAGATTTAATAGCACAGCTCCGTGTTACTGGAAATCCCCTGTGCTGCTGAGATAGCAGGCTCTCCGTTCCTCTCCCTGCACAGCACTACCAGGAGTGATAGTAATATTACTACCAGTAGTAATTCTACTACTAGTAGTAGTAGAAGAGCTTATTGCTAGTAATAATTGCCTATTATTCAAAAACACCAGGCACAATCAAAATTATAAAAACATTGACTGCTACCCTGTTTCCCTGAAAATAAGACCTAACCTGAAAATAAACCCTAATAGGATTTTTCAGGATACTCATAAAATAAGCTCTCCCCCCAAATAAGCCCCAGTTAAGTGAAACCTCGCCCTCCACCATTATGCAGCAACCAGAAGACGACATGACTACATTTGAATTAATGTAGTTTGCTGTACATGAAAAAAATAAAACATCCCCGGAAAATAAGCCCTAATGCATTTTTGGGAGCAAAAATTAATATAAGACCCTGCCTTATTTTCAGGGAAACACGGTATTACATAACAGATACAAGTTGTAACCCAAACGCTCCATAAGACGCACCTTTCCATAAGATGCACCAATTTTTAGGAGAAGAAAACAGGAAAATATAATGTAGCTCGTGATTTATTATTATTATTATTATTATTATTATTATTATTATTATTATTATTATTATTATTATTATTATTATTATTATTATTATTGCTACAAACAGTGGAAAACAGGAGAAACCACATGATGGCACCTTTTCATATAGACACGCTGGAGCATTGTGGCGAACGCATTGCTCTAAATTAAAAGTGTCAGAAGAAATGAACGACTCCATTTAAGGCTACAGTGCTTTTGACTGTTTTATCGGACTTGAATGCTTAACTTGCTAATTTGCAAAATTCAAGCATCTGCTGCAACGCATCTCGCAGCCATTAGCATGAATAACCGATGTTCGGCTGTTGTTTTGTACCCACGTGAACGTGGAGGGAAAATTAAACCTATCCCTCTTCCTTTGTCTCTATTAATTTTCGGCAAAATTCAGCACAAGGGATGGGGGAAGGAATTCCCTTTTGTTCCTGTAAATACGATCTACAGAAGAAAGACAAGATTGCAAGGCTTCTTGAAATCCTAAAATGTAGTGGGCTAGACGACAAAAATGTAGAGAGGTTGCCACCAATTAATTGGAGGTGATGCTTGCTTTTTCAATTTTTTTTTAAAATTCTCAGAGCTGCATTCCACCCTGCTCATAATTAAATCTCACTCTTTCAAGTAACCTACCTGAAAAAGCAAGCTATTTTCAGCAGCAGATTAGCAAAGAATTGTTACTGACTAGCACTGACCACCCCAACAGCTAATTCTTAAACACCTGGCTGCACCCCAAAAATCACTGTATTCCACACCATGGCTTCGTTTCACATAAGAATCTTGCGGCACAGTGGTTAATCTGAAGTACTGCAGTGAAGATTCTACTCACAATCTGAGATCAATCCCAAAGCCGGCTCAAGGTGGACTCAACCTTCCATCCTTGTACGGTGGGTAAACTGAATACCCAGCTCACACAGGAGGGGGCAATACATACCCTGCATAATTAAATTGTAAACCCCCCAGCAAGAGTGTTAAGCACTATGAGGCGGTAGATTAGGGCCCCTGTATCTGCAGAATTGGTGTCCACAGTTTTACTTCTCCACAATCTGAAATTATTAAAGGGAAAACGAAGAAATACACACTTCAAAGAGGTAGTTATCAGAACTGGCCATTAGAGGGAGCCAGAGACCATGCTATGTACTGTGTATAGGGTTTGGTATTTATCCATGGTTCCCAGCATACATGGGGGGGTATACTGTATACGAGCAGCACACTTTAGGGTATCCATGGTTCCCAGCATACATGGGGGGGGGTACTGTATACGAGCAGCACACTTTGGGGTGGTTTTTTTGGGGGGATTTTCACCCCAGTGTTCAGAATCCTGAGACACTCTGGCTTGTGACCTCCCCATCCTCTCTTCTCCAGCTGTTTTGGGTGGATGGGGAGGAAATCTGGAGGGGTCACCTTGTCAGTCTGTTGTGCCAAAATCAAATCAAACAAAACTTGATTCCACCTAGGAATAGCGCACATACATCATGGGTTAAGCCTCCAAGGCCATGGAAGCTTATGCCTAACAACAGACACAACCCCCCAAATTTGGGAGTGACCACCTGCTTGCTTAGTCTATTAACTCCACTGCTACGAAAGGTGGGATATAAATTTAACAAATAAACAAATCATGTTTTATTTCAGACTTTTTAAGGTGTCACAAATCTTTTTGTTCAAATAAAAAAAAAACACCTGATAATCCATATTACACTTATCCACACCAGCCCCAAAATGTAAAGTATTCTTCCTCTTCATTTCTAGTAGTTACATGCTACTCACCTTACTTTGGAAATCTTCTTCTAAGAGATTTCAGGAATACAGAGCCTAAGGCGATTAAATGGATTTATTTTTTGTAATTTACGTCCAAAGGAAATAAAGAACACTCAACGACACGTTAAAAAGGACCCTCAGAAACATAAATTCCCTGATTTTTGCAGCAGCTAGACCTAATACATCACAAGGAGTGGTATTTTACAAAAAGTAATTATACAGACCACTGTGAGAAGCTTGAATCGGCTGCTTGTAGCCGGGCACTTGGTGATTTTGTACATATCTAGCATTGACCTACGGGTAAATTAGTTTCACTCGCTACCTGTCCCTCGCTACATTGGACCCCCCCCCGAGAGTCTAGTTTACCTCTAGGAAACTGTTTCAAGCCACTTTGAGGTGTGTTTCTAGTCATCCTCCAGCTGTAAGCTCTTGATGTCGTAACCAAAGGGTATCAAAAGAAAAGCATCCTGTAGCCCTGAAGGCAAGTAAAATGGATAAATCCGACTCAAACTAATCTTCCAGGAGGCCCATGTCTTTTCTGCAAATTTGGTTGAGTCCATACAAAAGACCTCACCTATCTGGAAAGGATTGGTACACCACTGGCTACTGGTGCATACCCAAGAAATTTGGAAGAAAACCAGTTCATGTTTTTTTTTCCAGCAAAGCCTTTAACAATGCAGATCACGAAAAGCTATGCATTGCGCTAGAAGCCATGGGTGTGCCATCACATCCGATTGTCTTGATGCGTAATTTATAATCTGAACAAGAGGCTACAGAGCCAAATGAGGGGGGGGAACTAGTTTCCAAAGAGCAAAGGTGTTCGATCAGGGTGCATTTTATTTCCCTACCTGTTCAACTGAGATGCAGAAGATATCATACGGAAAACTGGATTAAATTCAAATGCAGAAGGAGTGAAAACGGTGAGAAGAAACATCCGTAATTTAAGATAAGCTGATGATGTTTTTTTGCTTGCGAGGAAAAAAAAGAGGCAAGCTGAAATTACTGAAGGTGAAAGAAGTGTAAAAGCAGTATTACAGTTGAATGTTAAAGACAAAAATAATAATTAGAGAATTGCAAAGCTTTAATGCTGACAGTGAAGAAAAATGCTAAAAGATTATCTATATCTTCTATCGTTAATGTTAAAGGCGATGAAGCCAAGAAGAAGAAAACTGTTGGCTTTGGTGTTGTTCTGTGCTGTCAAGTTCCCTCTGACTCAGGGTGACCTTATGAATGAGCATTTCTCCAAAATGTCCTGTCCTCAGTCACCCTGCTCAGCTATGGCAGATAGCCTCTTTTTAGGGAATCAATCCATCTCGTATTTGGTTGTCTTCTTTTTCCTGCTGCCTTCAAGTTTTCCCAGCTTTATTGTCTTTTCCAGAAAATGCTGTCTTCTCATGATACGCCCAAAGTAGGACAGCCTCATCTTCCAACATTTTT